TCCGTTACGCGGGTGCCAATATTTCCATGTTGGCATGTATTTTCCGCCTTTTTTCCTTCCAAAGAGTGGCAAATCAATAAAATATGTATCTCTCAGCGTAAACATAGCAGTCCCAGTCTAGTTTACCTGTACCAGTCGTACCAGCCGTGTACACGGATACGACTCTAGAGTTCTTGAATTGCCAGACAAATTAAGTGCGTAGAGCGTGGGGATTGGCACCTTCGTTGAAGACAATGGACCCTTTGACAACATGGACTGTTTGCTATATGTATCAATACCAGGGTGCACCGACGAGCTGAATGGGCTCGTACACCAAGAGTGAGTGCGTTTTATTTTACGCCGCTTTTAGCAATATTCCAGCATTATCATGGGCTTCACTCATTCTACTCATGTAGGGAATCGAACCCGGGCCTTCGGCATGACGAGCGAACACTTTAACCACTAGGCTACCTCCCCGCCCCTTATACACCATAACATGGGAGGACTGACGATTGATCTGAATTGTTTGTTGTACGCCAGCAATATTCCAGTTAGTTTAGGGACGGTCGGGTAGCCTAGTGGTTAAAGCGCTCGCTCGTCGCGCCGAAGACCCGGGTTCGAATCCCGACATGGGTACAATGCGTGAAGACCAATTCTGGTGTCTCCCGCCGTGATATTGCTGGAATATTGCTACAAAGCGGCGTAAACCATACTCAGTCAGTCAGTCCAGTTATATTAAGACGGTTTGTAAAAAAAATCATCGAGCCTTTGCCGGCCAAACCAGTGGTCGATAGCACGAGCAAGGACCCATGCCGTCTGAGCATGACATGCAACAATAGATGGCCGGGCACCCGATCCTCATTTACGATCCAATGGCGACACGAGATACTGGGGATCTAGTCTGACCCAAAGGCTCTAGCGCGTCTATATATATGCTGAATATTTTGTGACAAGGTGATAAACTATCACATTGCCTTGTGACTAACGGGATCGGGTGGTCAGGCTCGCTAACTTGGTAGCTACATGTCATCGTATCCCAGTTGCGTGGATCGATGCTCATGATGTCATGATGTCAATCACTGGATTGCCTGGTCCGGACTCGATTATTTACAGACCACCGTCATATAGCTGGAATATTGCTCAGTGCGGCGTTATACAACACACAACAAACAAAACAACAAACATGGCCTTATGTGAAATAAACGTAAGGGGCGAATTATGTATCCTTACCAAATTTCTTTTGGCGAAATGTATATCATCCAAAATGTATGTTACCTTGTTTGTCCAACAAAAAAAGGGACAAAACCCATTTCCAAAACTAAAAAAACTCTCTGCTGAAACTGAATCTGTTGTACGAGTGAAACTTTATCATTAGCATGTTGTTATGAAAGACTATTAAAAATAACGATGATACCAGGTGTTCGCGACAAGATGAGCGTACCCTGCCCCAACGGTGGCAACCGTCACAAACACATGCTAAGGCAAGTCAATTGTTCACCTGAAAGAACACACGTTAACATAGGGAATTGCATCGGACATCATGTTTGTCACTGAACGTCAATATCGGAAATGTCTTCCACATGCCCACCACACAAGCATGGAATTGGGCGAGACTAGCATCCTTCCAGCTACAGACTGCACGACACCATCCGAGTGTATAGGTTAACCCAGGTTCGCCACACAAGCATGGAACTGGGTGAGACTAGCATCCTTCCAGCTACAGACTGTACGACACCATCCGACTGTGTAGGTTAACCCAGGTTCGCCACACAAGCATGGTATTGGGCGAGACTAGCATCCTTCTAGCTACAGACTGCACGAAACCATCCGACTGTATAGGTTAACCCAGGTTCGCCACACAAGCATGGAATTGGGCGAGACAAGCATCCTTCTAGCTACAGACTGCACGACACCACCAGACTGTATAGGTTAACCCAGGTTCGCCACAGATGCACTTCTAAGCAAGCATGACATTTTCCCCATGGAAGCCTGTGTCAGCTGATAGCGCAGGTCCCGCACTGGTAAACAGGGTGCCGTTGTACAAAGGGATCTTAGCGCTAAGGTGATCGCAATTCGCAGACTTTAACATAGACTTACTATCATCTTAGCGCTAAGGTGATCGCAACTCCCATACTTTAACATAGACTTACGATCATCTTAGCGCTAAGGTGATCGCAACTCCTATCCTTTATCATAGACTCACTATCATCTTAGCGCTAAGGTGATCGCAAATCCTATACTTTAACATAGACTTACGATCATCGTAGCGCTAAGGCGATCGCAACTCCAAAACTTTAACATAGATTTACGACCATAGTAGCTCTAAGCTGATCGCAACTCCAATACATTAGCATAGACTTACGACCAAAGTAGCGCTAAGTTGATCGCAATTGCAATACTTTATCATAGACTAACGATTGTCGTAGCGCTAAGGTTGTTTTGTACAACGGCACCCAGGCTAGCCTCTGAACATTCACAGGCTCCACTCACTGCCAACGCTTACAAGGCGTGGGTAGCCTTGCCCCAAGGCTCTACTGAAAGATACGTCCATGGATGTGTAGTAATTCTATCCTAATAGGCATGTCTCGATACGTGGACAGGACTTCAGTCTCTTATAGGGACAACTCGTTCTTATTTTTTACATAATCTAGAAATTATGATTTAAACAAGCTTCAGAGACTTGTGCAAGTCTAGGCCGTGGGGTGGCCTGGTGATTATTGTCTCACATGGGCGAAACTACCTTTGTAGCAGAAAAGCAATTGCTTACACCTAAAATAAAAGCACAATTTTAGTTATGAGTAAACCTCAATTCACCATCTATGCAGCTTAAACTCTACACGGTCGAACGTGATATTTATTGTCTAACTTGAAAATCGGAATCTTTTCTACACACTTTAGGATTTTAGTGGTAGATGGTTTGTGACGTAAGCAAATCGCGTTCACGCAGTTATTTTCATTATAATGATAGGTCGGTTCGCGTTAAAATCATCCTCTCGAGGCAAGAGAATTAACTGGCTTTAAAAGTCCAGTTTCCACCCTTGCCGAATAAGGCTGGAATTCCTGGACTCGATCGTAGCGCCACCAGTGGCTATTACGATTTATGTCCCTTCTAAGCCTCTCCTATAGACCAATCAGATCTCGTATCACATGCATTTGCTTCAAACAAGACTTCTACCTAGTCAAGACGATCTGATCGATAATCAAGGTCTATATTGTGATAAAACGGGTCTTACATCGCGAAATGCATCAAATCACGTGAGCAACTTGATTAAAAACATGAAAAGATTTGGAAAATATCTGCTGACGCCGAGTCGGCGGTGCACATCCTTTGCAAATCCTGCAATCGACCGAAATCTGCACGACACTTTACGAACCGGATTTCGATTTCGTTGCGCGATTTTGATTGGACTTTGCATAGACTCGATCGTGAGTCCAGCCAAAATGTAACTCCATATTAACAGCCTAGTTCGGCAAGGATGGATTTTTATAGTCAGTTGACTCTCTTGCCTCGGGAAATGCAGGAAATTGCGATTAAGAGCGTCTTAGTTTTATGTTTTGGTGTAAGCATGCCTCCAGACAAAACAAGCGGGCCCTCGTAATATTGGTTTCGCTGACACATAAAATTAGCTTAGTTGCGCCCATGTCTCATCACACTGAAGTTCGATTTCCCAAACATGTTTACAGCATTTGAGTGAGTAAGTGAGAATGGTTTTATGCCGCTTTTAGCAATATTCCAGCAATGTCACGGCGGGGGACACCAGAAATGGACTTCACACATTGTACCCATTTCGGGAATCGAACCCGAATCTTCGGCGTGACGTTCTAACGCTTCAACCACTAGGCTACCCGACCGCCCCTTTACAGCATTTGAAGACCATTAATGGCGTAATACTATACTCATTCACTCAATAAAACTCCAATTGCAGCAGGCTGAAAGTTATTTAAAGTCATTATTTTTCTGTGGGTGAGTGAGGTTCCACTGTTTCCCGCCAGTTTTAAACACGTCATCAACCAGGTCACTGCTGAGCGTACTCATCTACCTCTTCATACCGCAGTTGTATTCACCCGATCTCCAAACAGTCATACCTTCATACAGTGAGTGAGTGAGGGAGTGAGTGAGTGAGTTTGCTTCACCACCGCTTTGAACTGTATTTTCGTGTTATAACGGCGTGTCTGCTTAATATGGGCGGGACGTGACCCAGATCATGAACGCTCACCACATGGGTTTTGTGTTTACAAACCATACAAGGGCACATTCAGCGCGAATGTTGGATTCAAACCCACGATCCCCGGAACCTGACCCAACAAGGGACGTGACTCCGCAAAACAAATTGTACGGTCTAAGACGCCTTAGGCACCGTGGTCCCGGTCGCCTGAGGCGCCGTTATTCGCTGTGCAGAGTTGCGTCCCTTGGGCAAGACAGAAACCTATGGTCGTGGGTTCGAATCTCGATTCGCCCGGATTATGTCTCTAGGTTTGTCATCACCACACTCGTTCTCATGGCTTTCACCAAGTGGTAAACGTCGGAGTTCGGTATAGGAGGGCTCTTTCCCACATAAGGCTGACACGCCGTGATATGACTGGAAAAATGTTCAAGCATCTTCCCCAAGCTCCTCACAGCGATAGCCCGTTCGCGGAGCTCTCTATACTATCGCGATGTTACCGAGAGTGTAACGAAGGTGTCACGCGCTGGGAAGGAGCTTGCATCTTCCCGAGGCAAGGGAGTTAACTCACGATGAAAGTCCACTTTTACAGTCAGTTAACTCCCTTGCCCCGGGAAGATGTGTTCAAGCGGCGCTAAACTCTCTCACACACCTACATCCAAGTTTTGATTGATTCCTGTATAACAATATGCACTTGCCTCCTACGTAGAACTGTGTTGCATTGAATATTTTCCATCTGTATTTCAAGAATGCCCAAATTGCATTCCCACAATTCCATGGGGTTTCTCTGTCGTCTGCCAAATGAAATCTAAGGAACACGCTGACCTAAACCTAATGGACAATCCAATGACACACAAGAATAATTAGCATTTTATTACAAGGCAAAATATCAATTCAGTAAATCATTCGAAAATATCTATACATAGTTTTCTTCACAAACGTCTACACAAAATATCTGCTACGTCACACAGAAAATGCATGCATACATTTGATTATTGACCATCGTTATTCTCACTGGCAGGTTTAGGCACGGACTGGAAATATACGTCCTGAAATAATTCAGCTCAAGATGGCTGGAATTCAGAAGCATTTGCATAGATTACTTAGACAATGGCATATATCTTATGTTAGTTTGTTGTATGGACTTGTACAATGAAGCCTCGTAAATGCGGACGGTACCGTTCACAGTTAAATCGTCCAGATTAACGAATATCCGGATTAACGAATCATTGGTTATTAGTTATGTAAATTTACTACGAATACACCTTCCCAATAATAATTGTTCAGAAGGCGGGGTTTCAGGATTAACGGGGTCCGGACTAACGAGGTTTCACGGTACATCATCATCATCATCATCACCACCGATTATTTCTTATTGGTGATAACAGGGCTGCACTTTGGCCTAGTGACCCAAGAATGGTTTAGACTATGAGGATTAAGTTCCGAGGATTATAGATTGGGTATTATAGGTAAAAGTCTATTACACTAGGCACCTGTGCTTATGGAGGGAGTAAGTATTGCATATGCACCTGTCCCGCCTCCCATGCCGTCCAGTAAGTACCTTGCTTCTATCGTTATGCATGAAAACATACATACGTAAATGGAACTTAATCTCAGAATACTACTTTGCTTGGAACTAGTTTCAAGATGCAGCTCTGATATGAACTCGATGCTAAAATACGACACGCTTTATCGGCAAGACACAGGTCATATGTGCTGACTTAGCAAAAGTAGGCAACTGTCAATTATTGCCATTATACTCAACTATTGTTGTGATTCAGCGGCAGAGGGTTCGGAAACTGCAACCTCTCATCTCGATATTTTGATAAAAAACGATTCTTCTCTAAACTAAAACCCATGTTCGCCACGACAATCGTACATTGAAGGCATATGAAACCCTTTATATTTCCAGATGATAAACCTTTATATTCCCCAGATGATATCCTTTATATTCCCAGACGATATCCTTTATATTCCCTGATGATATCCTTTATATTCCCCAGACGATATCCTTTATATTCCCCAGACGATATCCTTTATATTCCCCAGATGATATCCTTTTTACTCCGAGATGATATCCTTTGTATTCCCCAGATGATATCCTTTATATTCACCAGACGATATCCTTTATATTCACCAGATGATATCCTGAATAATCCAAGATGAACAGACTGCGGTGAGGCAAGTGGTACATTGATAAGAGCACCGACTCCAGATGTTGCATGACGGGATACATGAACCTCCCCTCAGAGACGAAGCATCTGACATATCTGTGATCAAATCACAGACGAAAAACACAGATCAACCAAATATCAAAGAACACTATCTGGAACAAGAATGATCCGATACGGTCATTTAGAGGACATGGCAAGGTCACAGCCCATCCTCGCATCAGCCACAACGACAGAAGCATATCAGATGACTTACAGACGAGGGTTGGATGAAGTTCCGCTAAATGCCTCATCACATAAGTAGTAGTCAGTCATTAGTTGACGTCATAAGATGACGTCCTATATCAAATTAGCGCAACAGTCCACGAATTTGTCAACACTTAGCATTTTCATTTCCTTAATTCCAAGAATAGATCCAGTTGATGTCGTTCATAGCTAACTGCCGGGAAGTTCACACCTTTGATCATGTTTACGTGGTAACGTCACATAGACGTCTACGAGTGTGAAGTTTTTATTTAACTTGACATATCGCGATGGCGTTTCCATGGTAACCTCACGAAGAATCCTGTCTTGTAATGAAATATCCATGACAACATGACCTGTACTCCTACAGTTGTGACGCTTCCATTTAACCTGACCCGCTACTGTACTGCGATGGCATTTCAATGAGAACTTCACGCAGAATCTTGTCTTGTAGTGAAATATCCATGGTAATGTCACATATACCCATGCCCGCTATCACAAGGTCGCACTAATCCTACTGAATGTTTGTATGGTTCGATCGATGTCACCGAATTCTGCCAGGGGTAACTACTGCTTACTTCCGCCGAACCCCCATATCATGGTGTGATATAAGACGTTGTCGTCACGTGATTTACATATACTGACGTCATGTTAATGACGTATATTAAAGCAGTTGCCACAGATGCTAACCTGTAGATGGACTAATGGCACAGACTTGATGACGTCGTTAAACAGCTGTGTTGTGGCAGACATACTGTCCATTCTCGATTGTACAGTGCATCATGTTCCTATTCTATTCTGATGGATACCCTGGACCCATTCGCCATCAAACCTTTGTTCCGGAAGTGACGTCATCATCTCTATCTCGCTTATAACTACCACAGCGACGGATGTCTCTCGCTCATTAGTGTAATATGACTGGCCGGCTTATTGTAATGATTTTTCTGTCGAATACGGTTTAAAACGAAGCTATGATGGCGTTACTCTCCGTCATGTGTCTATCTTTACAGAGATGTTAAGATATTAGAGACATGTACCCACTGAGACTGTGATTTATGTTGACTGTTGACCCATTGAAGCTTTTATTGACTGTTTGTAATCCCAATTGTCAGCCCAAAATACTCCTATATTAAAGGCGGACGCACTGTTGATGTCGAGTATTTCCAAATGTCACCACACACCGCTCATGTCTTAAAGGCGGGCTCACCGAAGCTTTCAAGTATTGCCATGTGTCATCACAAAATACTCTTATCTTAAAGGCGGACTCACTGTTGCTGTGAAGTATTTCCAACTACCTTAAAGGCGAAATCACCGATGCTTTCAAGAATTGCCATCTGTCATCACAAAATACTCTTATCTTAAAGGCGGACTCACTGCTGCTGTCAAGTACACCCAGCCGTCACCACACACACCTTCCTATCTACCACACAAGCAGCAACCTGGAACTCAATAAATACTGGATATGTATCGGAGCACTGCTGTGCTGTGCATGCCAGCTGGAATTGTCCGAGTTGAGACTCGGGGCCATGTTGAAAATGTCGAACGCGATCACAAAACAGGTCACCTTGATCTTGACTGGCAGTGAGGGAGGAACAGATAGTTCCCCTTCCTAGATAAATACATCGCAATACTTCCACTTTGGATATGTATCCATACAATTCACAAAGGAGTGTCGTTCGTTATTCCAATCGACACGATTCAGTTCGAGTCCATTTTCAAGATGTCTGCCCACACGTCCACGAATATTGAAGTAGTAAACAGGATGGGTTTTTTAAGAAGGAGCAGGGGCTTGAACGGGGGCAGGTTGGGGTTTTGCGGGGGGTTCAGGGGCAGGTTTCTTGGCAACTTGGGGAGGTTCCTGTTTAGCAGCAGCTGCAGCTGCAGCTTTGGCCTGATCCAGAACCGGAAGTTTGGATTCTTTCGCTTGAGCAGCTGCGGCGGCTCCCTCGCGCTTCTTGAGATCCTCGACCTTTGGTTTCTCCGGAATAACAACTTCCTCTTCTTCTACATCCTCTGGCGGGAGACCGCACAGCTGAAGACTGACATTCCATAACTTGGTTCCCCTGGTTTTGTCTCTTGCAATTTCTTTAATTTTCTGTGCCTTGCAGTTGACGAAGAGTTTACCCGAGTGCTCTCTTAGCTTATCGGCCACGGCACAATAGACAATGGTCTGACATCCCTCCTCCGGCGTCTTGAAGAGGATCCTCGCCATGGCTCGCAGCAGGTTGCCGTTCATCCCGGGCCAGCTGCGGAGCAGGTCGGTGCAGCATGGGCCTGGAAACCGAAATATTATAGATACACTACTACTCAAAACTAACTTCCTCTCAACCATACATGAGCAAAAGTTACAGATACACTACTATTCAAACGCATCTTCCACTTTATCATAAATGAGCAAAAATTATAGATACACTACTATTCAAAACTAACTTCCACTCAACAATACATGAGCAAAATTTACAGATACACTACTATTCAAACGTAACTTCCCCTCAACCACAAAGGAGAAAAATAACATTGAGACAATACTATAAAAAAAACTACAGCCCACCCACCAAAGTTTTTTATTAAATATTTCTTGGTCACATTAATTATTATTACCAAATTGGTTATGCTTATTTTATAATGGCTGACCACTGTTTGTCATAATAATGTATAAATATTATATGCAGTGGACATTCCGAAAGTTCGGAAATATTATCATCTGTCATCTACCTAAAAGTATTTGTGGCTACTCGTGTCATTCCGTAAGAAGCCGAGAGGGGATTTACAGAAATTGGAGCGGCACTAGATGTGACGATTAAATTGGGTATCCGGAATATACACGAGTGATCACGAATGTAACACATCCAACTAACCCGGATGAACAGCGTAAGTGCAGACGACATCTGAGAAGAAATGGCGATGACACTCCATGCTGAACACCGTCTGGGCCAGCTTGCTCCGGGAGTAGGCCTTGTAGATGTCGTAGCTTTTCGTCATGGCGAGATCCTCGAAGTCCAGTTTGCCCTTGAGGTAGGCGTCGGACACGACGTTGATGACGCGGCTGGGCGCGCACTTCTTCAGCTTCTCCTTCAGCAGCAAGGTCAGATAGAAGTGTCCAAGATGGTTGACGCCGAAACAACGTTCAATGCCGTCATTGGTGGTGGCTTTAGGACCCATGTAGCCTGTAATGAAGACGTTACGACATCGGTGACATGAGTTAAGACCTATCAATTGACATGTGATTTTATTACTTGCCCGTGAAGAGATCACCCGTTTAATAAACATACACATTGTGTAATACCAAAGCGCGTGTTAATGTACTGCGGGAACAAGTTTCACGAACAAATATTGAAAACTCTCAACATCCCTGGGCTTATTCAACGACATTGCGTTTAGAGATGATTGATCACTGAAAGGAGCTTATGCACACTCGATGGCACCAGCTACCCGGTTGCTAGGCTGACGTCACATGGCATTGTTTCGCCGCTGGATCTTGCAACAAAATTCCACAAATTACGTCATAGGGTATTGTGACGTGATTGTAAACTTTGTGATGCAGGATCCCGTTCCACAAGGCGATCGTAGCGCCACGACACTTGTACGTCTAGGTTTATTGGAGTTATTGATAACCTTGGCCCTACGATAACTTTCTGGAAAGGAACCATGAACTCTTAAGGTGGGCCGTGCATGGTATTAAATTAATACGTGTAACTTTTGACGTGTTGAAGAATTGTTTTGTTAAACTCAATTGGATTATGCTGTGGATCGCGTAGAGGTCTGTCACATGCGACATTGAAATTCTAAAAACAATTTTTAAACGGCAAGTAAAAAATAAAATACTAAACTCTCCCCCGTGTACGACCAATTTAATGCAACTCGTGAATAGTTCTGTTATCTGACGAGCGAAAGCGTTTCATTAAATTGGTATAACGGGAGCTCCTTTAGCATTCCATATGTACTTTATGATGTGAACATTTCATACTGCATCAACTCACCTGTTGATTGACTGATTGTTTGTTTGTTTTTTGTTTAACGCCGCACTCAGCAATGTTCAAGCTATATGACGGCGGTCTGTAAATAATCGAGTCAGGACCAGACAATCCAGTGATTGATATCATGAGCATCGATCCCCTGTTGAAAGTAGGCCACTGGGTACTTCAATATTTCTTTATATCATGAGTAAAAAAAAGGCGTTAGCAAGCCCGAAAACTTGGCAATTAGTGACGGTTCAAGATAAGAGACCGGGAATCAATTGGCGGTGATTTTGTAAACTGTCAGTTGATCGCAATACATTTGTGCATATTTGAGTAATGGGATGGTCCAACTTTTAAGGGGGTGGTGGGTTACCCTAGAGGTTAAAGCGTTAGCTCGTCCCGCCAATGCCCTGGGTACAATGTGTGGAACCTATTTGTGGTCTCCCCCGCTGTGATATTGCTGGAATAGTGAAAACCTCACTCACTCACTCACTCACTCACTCCATTAAAGCGCATACAGCAGGGAAAGCTTATTTACATCAGGTACACCGACTTCGGTGTACACTATTTCGAGCATCAAATGCCAAGAGACAGATTAATTAATAATCTAGAGTGAGTGAGTATATGCTAACACCATATAGCAACATTCCAGCATATAACACCAGAAAAGGGCTTCACACATTGTACCCATGTGGGGAATCGAACCAGGGGCTTATGCGTGACAAGCGAAAGCTTTAACCACTAGGCTACCCGACCGCCCCCTAATAATCTGGAATTGTCTTCGAGACTTACACTTATTTCTTTGAAGGAGAAGCCGATGTTTTTTTTACAAAACCATTTTCATAAGGAGGAGAATATATGGGGGTTTCAAAGACCTAAAACCATTTTCATTCAGCATGTCAAACAAGTTAAATTTATTTATTCCCATTATACTGTGGAACGTTTTTTATGCGCCGTTATTGAAGTTCTAAATTATGCCGACATCAGCGTTTCCCACCCTCATAGGTTCTGTAAAGTGAAGAGTAAAGATGACCCGAGGTCAGCTGCAGCGGATATGCAGTGACGGCACAATGCTCAATGACGTCATGGACCGTCACCTTGCAACCATGTGCATCCCTGTGATATATTTGTTATCATCAGAAATGATTCCAACAGCACACTCAAGGAAAGGTCATGGTAACCTCCTCAGGCTTGAAGGGGGTATTGAGAAGACGAGCGTTGTCAGAATGCTCACACATTCTTTCAACTGTTTTCTGGTCTTGGCAACCGGTGAATGTCAACTTTGACATTTCGGCAGGGATACAGCTGTGAAAAAGTTCCACCAGAACGCCCGCTCCGCGATTCGCCATCATTCGCCAGTTTACTGTCTTATGCTCGGGATGTCCGGAGTGACACGAACAGTATCGAAGGTTTATATTGCAGTTTCTCGTAAATACTCGCTTCTTTCCGTAATCTACAATCATTTTGTCAGAATTGGACGGGTTTCTCACGAATGCCACGAGTTAGTCCGAAATTAGCCGGAACTGTTGTTTTCGCAGGTACGGAAAGGGACGAATGCGATGAATGGGCATTGGGATATGGTGGCCCAGAAGTCAAAGTTCGACAACTCATTGTACAGAGTTGTGCCCCTTTACTGTTAGGAGCAGCTGGTGATGGGTTCGAATCCCAGATTTGCTCAGTTTTTATTTCAGTATTGTCAACTTCATACCATACCAGAGTTTTCTCCAAACTAGCAAACGTCTACCACATTTAACTGGCACTTACTTAACATTATTATTGCCTCACTCACTCACTCACTCACTCACTCACTCACTCCTCTTCAGTGTTCGCCAGGACCGTGTCCTGTGCGTACATTCGTACATCAGTTTCCGACATTTATGATACGAGGTACTTCAAGAGGTTTCAGTGTTTGCAGGTCTCTGTGATACTGTGGAAGGTCAGCGCCTCGAGCATGTGTCACAGAATCACAGACATGACAGCACCACTCATGTGAGTTTTATTGTGTCACGTGCTCGGGACCGTGAAATGGAAGTATTTCATTGGTCAGTTTTTCTTGTAGGAAACAGGACTTGGCTGGAGGGGAGTGACGTTGATGGATATATGTGACAGTCAGAGAGGCGGGGACAACTTCCTTGAAGTCGACGTCTTCATGTAATCCTGGGTGTCCAGGTTTTTGTGAATTACGATTTTGCACGGAGAGGACGTGTACGAACTGTCAAACAAAATCCTTGTATCCAACTTGGTTGACAACTGATAGAAAATTGTAAAGGATCTGAGGAGTACTGAGTCAGGGAGGGAAGGAGGGGCGAGCGAGTTTACCGCAATATCACATCACGTTCTTGTGGTCTGCAGACAGTGAAAGACAGCATGGCCTTTGGTAAGGTACTACACAACCAGCTGTCAATGTGTTCAGTCACCTAAGCAAATTTTCAGAAATTCTGCCTTCGAACAGTCAGATCCTGGCGCAACTAAGGTATATAACTCTGTAAAGCCAATTGCGGAGCCATGAATAAATAACTTTGCTTTCCGTGAAAGCAATTAATTGCTTCAGCTGTGGTATTTTTTACTTTGGTGTAAAACAATTAACTGCAGCAGCTGTGATATTTCGGACTTTGGTGTAAAAGTTAGCTGCGAAAGCTGTGATATATCTGACTTGGGTGTAAATCATTTAACTGCAACAGCTGTGATGTTTCGGATTCTTGGTGTAAACCATTTAACTGCAACAGCTATGGCATATCTGACTTGGCCGTAAAATATTTAACTGCAACAACTGTGATATATCTGACTTGGCCGTCAAACATTTAACTGCAACAGCTGTGATGTTTCGGATTCTTGGTGTAAAACATTTAACTGCAACAGCTGTGATATATCTGACTTGGCCGTAAAACATTTAACTGCAACAGCTGTGATATATCTGACTTGGCCGCAAAACATTTAACTGCAACAGCTGTGATATATCTGACTTGGCCGTCAAACATTTAACTGCAACAGCTGTGATGTTTCGGATTCTTGGTGTAAAACATTTAACTGCAACAGCTGTGATATATCTGACTTGGCCGTAAAACATTTAACTGCAACAGCTGTGATATATCTGACTCGGCCGTAAAACATTTAACTGCAACAGCTGTGATATATCTGACTTGGGTGTAAAACATTTAACTGCAACAGCTGTGATGTTTCGGATTCTTGGTGTAAAACATTTAACTGCAACAGCTGTGATATATCTGATTGGGTATAAAACATTTACCTACAACAGCTTTTTAATATCTGACTTGGACGTAAAACATTTAACTGCAACAGCTGTGATATAACTGACTTGGCCGTAAAACATTAAACTGCAACAGCTGTGATATATCTGACTCGGCCGTAAAACATTTAACTGCAACAGCTGTGATATATCTGACTTGGGTGTAAAACATTTAACTACAACAGCTTTTTTATATCTGACTTGGACGTAAAACATTTAACTGCAACAGCTGTGATATAACTGACTTGGCCGTAAAACATTTAACGGCAACAGCTTTTATATATCTGACTTGGACTTAAAACATTTAACTGCAGTAGCTGTGATATATCTGATTTGGATGTAAAATATTTAACTGCAATAGTTGTGATATATTTGACTTGGCCGTAAAACATTAAATTGCAACAGCTGTGATATATCTGACTTGTAAGCCTTAATGTACTTACCGAAAACATCTTCTGTCTGTTACAAAACGTGAGTGAGTGAGTTGGGTTTAACGCCGCTTTGAACAATATTCCAGTGATGCAGGTCTAAGACGTTTACCAGTGTTGTGAAAACCGCGGGCACAAAAAGGTTGGTACGTAGCGCACAAACGCGAGTTGAAACACTAATTATTGCTTTTCATGTTTTCGCCACGTGGGACCCAGAAATTAATTTTTTTTATTGGAAACGTAGACATGAGAGTCCTTGCTCCATTCGCCATCTATGTTCCCCGAAGATGAGAAAACGAAAAGATCAAGAGTCAAATTTGGGTGGCTGATTATTTCCACAAATAGAATTAGAAAAAAGACGTATCACAAGATATGGATTATTGTTACGTAAAGGATACTTTTGCAATAGGACAAGACCCCCCTATCCTGAAAGCTGCGGATGACGCCATGTAATTGTGAGAGCTTCGAACATTTAAAAATAAGTTATCCATATAAAACGGCTTGTCATCTGAATGAGGAAGGAAGCCAAGAGTCGTAGACGTTTACCACTATGATAAAATTAACAAGAAAGAACAATAATCTGGGCACATCTGGGAACCGAGCCGATGTTCAGCGGATCCTGAAGCGACTAAGGGACGCAAGTATAGATAGCAAATTATGCCGGTTAGGAAAACTAGTTCATTGAGTGTGAACTTTGAACAAAGACTCAAGAAAACGAAAGCAGGTAGCAATGTTGGAAGAAAAGATTGCCCAGTCGAACCATTGCCACGAGTTATTTTTATGCCAGCGTCAAAATTGCAAGTCTTTGTCCCAGTGCCAATGCATCTTACAATACGTTTATATCCATAACTCCATATCGTACCTGCGTTGTTGATGAGGACGTGGAGGGCGCTCTCCTTGTCGTTGAATCTGTACACAAAGTCATGGATGGACCGGAAGTTACCGAGGTCCAAAACCTCGGCGAAGACGTTCTGATTGCCTGTCTTCTTCTTGATGCTCCTCGCCACCGCCTCGCCCTTGTTCTTGTCGCGGATACACAGAATGACGCGCGCCTTCCGCTTGGCCAGTTCTATTGCCGTGGCCTTGCCTAACCCTGTGTTGGCGCCTGTAAAGAGGAAGAGACACGGTTAGGACAAAATACAGACCTTCTACCTGTTTGAATATTAGAGTGTTACCAGGTTCACCCAGGTATCGATCAGACTTAAGGGGAATCCTGGGTAGCTTTGTGGTTCTAAGGCTCGCTCGTAAGTTTGTTGTTTGTTTGTTGTTTAACGCCGCACTCAACAATATTGCAGCTATATGACGGCGGTCTGTAAATAATCGAGTCTGGACCAGACAATCCAGTGACATCATGAACATGGATCCACGCGATTGGGATACGATGACATGCATCAACCAAGTCAGCGAGCTTGAACTCCCGATCCGATTTCTTACGGCAAGAATAGTCGACTTTTACCACAAGCCTGGGCTGCTGAAGACCGTTACTACTACTGTCATATGTGATTTCTGTTTGCATTAATTATTTCATTGAAATACATGAACTATGTGAGAAAGGTTTAAATATTCTTGATGTCAAAATACACTCCTTTAAAAGCGAAGTATTCTCTGTTTTGTAACAGTTGTGAGCTGATCAACTCTAGACTTGCACAGGTCTCTAAGGCAATAATTATTAATTTAAATCTTAAGTTCCAGATTATGTAAATAATAAGTACAAGTTGTCCCTGTAAGAGACTGGAGTCCTGGCCACATATCTAGACTTGCCTATTAGGCATCTTCTCAAGGCAAGGGAGTTAACTGACTAAAAAAGTCCAGTTTCCACCCTTGCCGAACTAGGCTGGTATAATGGAGTTACATTTGGGCTGGACTAACGAGTCTATGCATAGTCCAATCAAAATCGTGCATCGAAATCGAAATCCTTTTCGTAAACTGTCCTGCAGATTTCTGTCAATTGCAGGATTTGCAAAGCATGTGCACCGCCAACTCGTTGTCAACAGATATTTTCCAAATCTTTTCATGTTTTGAATCAAGTCGCTTACGCATTGCGCGATGTAAGACCCGTTTTATCACAACATAGACCTTGATTATCGATCAGATCGTCTTGACTGGGCGCCACTGTTATCTGATTGGTCTAAAGGAGAAGCTCAGAAGGGACATAACCCGTAATAGCCACTGGTGGCGCTACGACAGAGCCCAGGAATTCCCGCCTAGATCGGCAAGGGTGGGAACTGGACTTTCAAAGTCAGTTAACTCTCTTGCCTCGGGAAGATGCCTATTAGGAGGATAGAATTACTACACATCCATTGAGTTTTCTTTCAGTACAGCCTTGGAGCAAGGCTAGATGGACTCCTGTAAGGAGAGAAAGTACTCGACATATGAAGAAGAGTATTTGGAGTCATGTGATATTAGGATATTATTTTTATTCTTTATTCTTTATATGTATATCTATGTTGAGGGTTGTTTGATAGTAAGAACGCAGACAGTATCAGTATTTGAATCAGAACGGCGTGTATGATACAAGTTCAAGGAACATTTCCGCTCACAGATGACTCAACGCAAGTCTACCTGGTTTGTCATGCATTGTGAAAAAACTGGTTTCACTGTTGATTCGCGCATTAGGCTTATCCCCGAAAAATATGGCCAAACAATAACAAATTGCTCTATCGATGTTATTTTTGGCGGCAGTAATTTTACTTCACAAACAATCTTCAATTCGTTCGCTATTTGTTTTCATTCAATACCGGCGACCAATAAATGCTATGTTGAGTGTTGTCCAATCGCAACCTTCGAGAAATCGGCCTCCACCCGTCTACTTGTTTAGGTAGACAGGAGCCCAGTCATGCTTTGTGACCCTCCACATTGGAAAAATATATTACCCGGAACATCCTGTTAAACACATTTTCTTTTAAAGATGGATTGGTAGGAGTAAATAAATAAATTATTGTTTCATTACGTTACGACATTTTTTGGCAGTAATTATTGCAGTTCGTCGGTTGTTTGTTGTCACAGCGGCCTGCAGCCATACATCACAGAATGATTGAAGCTGCAGCACTCTTTCTACAGCTCACTGTGTTAATACACCATCCACACACGGGGCTTCACGAGGCTCATGAGATGTCTTGAAATAGCGATCTCTGGCAGGGGTTGTGGGAGGTCATATATATCATTTCAGGTAAAAAAGGAAAGAGTTGTAAGCGTTATCTGTAGACACATGAACTGAACACCTTTCATTCAACCTGCAACCCCACCCCACCCCTCCCCTCCCCCCTCCCCTCACCGAGTACGTGTGTGCTGACAGGCAGGGGCCTCCTCCACACTGTTAGTTACTGTGCACCACACAGGAAGCGGTGAATCACGGTGGGCTTCCTTGTCAGAATTGATCTCCAGGGCAGATGGTGTTCACTGATCGTACAACCTGCCGGTGTTCACTGATCGTACAACCTGGCATGTAGGTGTTCACTGATCGTACACTTTGTCATGTGGGTGTTCCCTGATCGTACAACCCGCCGGTGTTCACTGATCGTACAACCTCCCGGTGTTCACTGATCGTACAACCCGCCGGTGTTCACTGATCGTACAACCTGGTGGTGTTCACTGATCGTACAACCTGGTGGTGTTCTCTGATCGTACAACCTGGTGGTGTTCACTGATCGTACAACCTGGCATGTAGGTGTTCCCTGATCGTACAACCTGCCGGTGTTCACTGATCGTACAACCTGGTGGTGTTCACTGATCGTACAACCCGCCGGTGTTCCCTGATCATACAACCTGGTGGTGTTCACTGATCGTACAACCTGGTGGTGTTCACTGATCGTACAACCTGGTGGTGTTCACTGATCGTACAACCTGGCATGTAGGTGTTCACTGATCGTACAACCTGCCGGTGTTCACTGATCGTACAACCTGGCGGTGTTCACTGATCGTACAACCTGGTGTTGTTCCCTGATCGTACAACCTGCCGGTGTTCACTGATCGTACAACCTGCCGGTGTTCACTGATCGTACAACCTGGTGGTGTTCACTGATCGTACAACCTGCCGTGTTCACTGATCGTACAACCTGGCATGTAGGTGTTCACTGATCGTACAACCTGGTGGTGTTCACTGATTGTACAACCTGGTGGTGTTCACTGATCGTACAACCTGGCATGTAGGTGTTCACTGATCGTACAACCTGCCGGTGTTCACTGATCGTACAACCTGGTGGTGTTCACTGATCGTACAACCTGGCATGTGGGTGTTCACTGATCGTACAACCTGGTGGTGTTCACTGATCGTACAACCTGGCATGTAGGTGTTCACTGATCGTACAGCCTGGTGGTGTTAACTGATCGCAAAACGTGGCATGTAGGTGTTCACTGATCATATAACATGTCATGTAGGTGTTCACTGATCATATAACATGTCATGTAGGTGTTCACTGATCATATAACATGTCATGTAGGTGTTCACTGATCATATAACATGTCATGTAGGTGTTCACTGATCATATAACATGTCATGTAGGTGTTCACTGATCATATAACATGTCATGTAGGTGTTCACTGATCATATAACATGTCATGTAGGTGTTCACTGATCATATAACATGTCATGTAGGTGTTCACTGATCATATAACATGTCATGTAGGTGTTCACTGATCATATAACATGTCATGTAGGTGTTCACTGATCATATAACATGTCATGTAGGTGTTCACTGATCATATAACATGTCATGTAGGTGTTCACTGATCATATAACATGTCATGTAGGTGTTCACTGATCATATAACATGTCATGTAGGTGTTCACTGATCATATAACATGTCATGTAGGTGTTCACTGATCATATAACATGTCATGTAGGTGTTCACTGATCATATAACATGTCATGTAGGTGTTCACTGATCATATAACATGTCATGTAGGTGTTCACTGATCATATAACATGTCATGTAGGTGTTCACTGATCATATAACATGTCATGTAGGTGTTCACTGATCATATAACATGTCATGTAGGTGTTCACTGATCATATAACATGTCATGTAGGTGTTCACTGATCATATAACATGTCATGTAGGTGTTCACTGATCATATAACATGTCATGTAGGTGTTCACTGATCATATAACATGTCATGTAGGTGTTCACTGATCATATAACATGTCATGTAGGTGTTCACTGATCATATAACATGTCATGTAGGTGTTCACTGATCATATAACATGTCATGTAGGTGTTCACTGATCATATAACATGTCATGTAGGTGTTCACTGATCATATAACATGTCATGTAGGTGTTCACTGATCATATAACATGTCATGTAGGTGCCCACTGATCATATAACATGTCATGTAGGTGTTCACTGATCATATAACATGTCATGTAGGTGCCCACTGATCATATAACATGTCATGTAGGTGTTCACTGATCATATAACATGTCATGTAGGTGTTCACTGATCATATAACATGTCATGTAGGTGTTCACTGATCATATAACATGTCATGTAGGTGTTCACTGATCATATAACATGTCATGTAGGTGTTCACTGATCATATAACATGTCATGTAGGTGTTCACTGATCATATAACATGTCATGTAGGTGTTCACTGATCATATAACATGTCATGTAGGTGTTCACTGATCATATAACATGTCATGTAGGTGTTCACTGATCATATAACATGTCATGTAGGTGTTCACTGATCATATAACATGTCATGTAGGTGTTCACTGATCATATAACATGTCATGTAGGTGTTCACTGATCATATAACATGTCATGTAGGTGTTCACTGATCATATAACATGTCATGTAGGTGTTCACTGATCATATAACATGTCATGTAGGTGTTCACTGATCATATAACATGTCATGTAGGTGTTCACTGATCATATAACATGTCATGTAGGTGTTCACTGATCATATAACATGTCATGTAGGTGTTCACTGATCATATAACATGCCATGTAGGTGTTCACTGATCATATAACATGTCATGTAGGTGTTCACTGATCATATAACATGTCATGTAGGTGTTCACTGATCATATAACATGTCATGTAGGTGTTCACTGATCATATAACATGTCATGTAGGTGTTCACTGATCATATAACATG